TACTGCTATATATAAAATATATAAAAAATACAATATACAAATTTATTCTTAGGCTTTTTTTTTAATTTAGGCTATTCTTTATATTTACATAATATGTACGGAACGGTTTGTATTTGACCGTTTTTATTTTTTATCAGAATAAAACTATTCTATATTTCAAGATGAAGTAAACAAAAATCTAAATATTGACAAAACTTTATTAAGATTGGTTGATCGATTTCGAAAATTAGCTAATGCTAATTTAATTTAATTAAATAGTTTATTTTTATTTAATTATTTTTTTCAATTTTATTTTTTGCCTTATACGAACATTGTGACAAGATTTTTATTATGCTTGGTTGTTATTTAATAATTTATTTATAGTAATGTAGATATATCATATTTACAATATGGTCCTGTCCAAAATATTGACATTCATAGGTATATTAATTATATATAAATATACGCAACTACTGGCAAAACCACCCAAGGGAGAGACCTATGTTCAGCAGTGGACAGTTATCGCCTAATTTGATGAAGAGGATATGATGATGATAATAATAATTATAAATTTTATATTGTAAAAATAATTATATATATAATTATTAATAATTATAAATATTTCAATTTGTGGTAAAACCAGTTTTTAATTAAAAACCAAACTACTGAACCGACTGCGATAAAGTTAATATGAAACCAATCTAAAAATATGTACAGTTAAAAAAGTATTTTTCAAATCGATTTATAAATGACTGAGTTTTGAGATAACAAACAAAAAAAAAAGAAACGTATTGAGAAACTCTTGTCTTTTTTGAGTCGGTCGAAAATCTACTTTCTAGTAGTCAAATTTAATGGAACACGTCATATATATTTCATGGAAGCGTTATATTGTTCCGTGGGATTCGGACCCGGTCGCTCCCAACCACGTGTATGCAACAGAATTATAATATAATATATCTCCACATAATCTACAATTACATTCGTCATCTAGGATTACAATCTCGTGTAAATCTCGTTGAAAAGACAGTTACTTTAATATTATATAATAAGTACTTTTTAATAACCGATTATGGCAAAATTTCCCAGGAATCAAACTGTAACGGATATACGTCCGTTCAGATAAAAATAAATAGAATTTTCTAAATCGGTTTACAACTAATGGAGATATAAAAAAGTACAATAGAATTAAGGCCTCCTTTTCTTTAATTCAGTTAAAAAGACTAAATATCACACACGTTATATATGCTATTATATTTAAGGTTTATAAATCTAATTACCTACCTAATAATGGCGATATGTCATTTACTGCTCTTACTTATATATGTCTATATATACACAGTATATATAAACTCCCTAATATATTTCTGTTTTCTAATAGATCATTATTGTTGATACACGTAGGGGAATCTGGGGTTGATTGTGACAGGGTTTTTTTTTTTAATAGATGGTATTGGAATGTTTACCTCGCTAGCGGTAACGATGAACGACGATGGGACGAAGGTGTGAATAAAAAGGCAAGTCAGCTCATCGTGATAAATTCCCCTGGAATTCAGCACGATGATTTCCAGAGTAGGACCGCGGGGAGGTCGACCTGACAGGGTATATTTTTTTTAATGGTTAATAATGGAATGATAACCCCTATAATGCACTATCGGGATACGCTGGCGGGGCACCAGTGAGGGATGACAAGTGACGATGAAAGCAAGTCAGTCAGCCCATCGTGACAAATTGCACTAGAATTAATTACGATGGTTTCCAGGGGGAAACGCGTGGAGGTCGACCTAATAGTGTGTATTGCTAGCAATGGGTCCATTAGACCCCATTACTAACAATGCCTTTCCCCCCAAGGGTATATATTAACAATGAAACTAGTAGTCCACATTATTAATAGTCCCTTCCCCTTTTGTGAAAGGGGTAGGTAGTTACAGCAGTAATAGTGGTTAAACGGATAATATTAATGTTAGAAGTAAACAAGGAGTTACAACACAATCGGTCAACACGAAAAAGAACTAAACAAATAAATACAATTAAGGAAGGAATAATAGTAAATAAAATGTTACATGAGAAATTATTATATCAATTAGAATTATCTATTCCTCAACGTCTATTTTCCATAAGAGAAGTTTTGCCAGCGAATGCCACGTTTGGCAGGCAGGTTGGCAAACGCAATTACGCTTTGATGATGTTTTAAGATGGATGTTGCTGCCTATCTCTCGACCGTTGAGTTCCCTTAATCACCTCTTACGACACCCGCGGAAAAGGAAGAGGTGGCCTATTCTATGCCGGGACCGTACGGCAAAATGATATCAGAAATAAGATAATATTTTTTTTAAAAGACTTCTGTACAGATGATAAACATAATAACACTATGTTTATTTGTAAATAAAGCAATGACACTATAATTGTTCAAATGGTGTTGTTGTTCGTTTGTTTGTAGCCGTAATATTTTACCCCTTATGGTGTTATAACCTATCCTTATCGCGGGAATATATGTTACACGCCCATTTTATCTAAATATATTCGTTTATATCAGTAAATAATGGTACCGCCGTATGTAAAATTCTTTTCAAATTGAAAACCGCAAATATTTCTTAATAAATAAAAATTATGACACTTTTTAAAAAGATGTTCAACAAGTCTCTGCCTCCCCTACACGTTTAAGAATTACTAACAACAAAATATCCAGGTCGCTGAATGGAAACAGACCATTCGTTTCCAGATTTTACACAGCAATTGTACAGCTAAGTTAGAGGTTTTATAGCAGCTTTTAAACTTGAACAATGTACATATATGTACTTGCTATTGTATAATTGTACTTACTAGATTGTGCACAATTATAATTATTAAATTATCCATAAATGCACTCATTTAAATGAAATTAACAAAGAGAAAGTATATATCCTTGAAGAATTCTATTTCTAGTACAACTTCTAAAGTTTGTGAGGATATTTGTATGTATGGATTAACCAACATTATTGTTTCATACAAAAACTATTAATTTGTATGAAATTTGGTACACGGAAATGTTATATGCCAACTTAACATATAGGACAAAATAACTTAATGGAATGATTCACGCGAGCGAAGCTGCGAAATACAGCTAGTATTATTAAGAACAAAGGCAGATTCGTATTTTTTGGTACTTATCCAGGTCACACAAATGAAATAACGAATTCAAACTATTATAGATATAAAGTAAAATCTGGCATAAAAATAAATTTAAGTGGATTTTGCTCTTAAAAATCATCTGTCAGAAGCTATATATTGATTTAACTCATAATACATAAAAGTCTGTAACCAAACAATGCAACTTTGTAGCAATGCGTGACTGCGGTATACTTAGCTGGCCCCTTTTAGTAAATATCAATAATTCTTCGTATATTTACCCTCTTTCTAGTCATAACATGGTCGAAACACCAAAACATCCAGTGGTTTTACATTTCAGAACCCTTGCTAATATTAGACATTTTGAAAATAAGTTTGTTGCATTCTGGCGCTTTAACTGTTAGTCAGTAGCCATTAAATTTGGTAAGCAAATAATAATTTAAAATGAATAATTTGAAATTATGCATTTTACAGACACTTTTCGGATCACGCGGCGATCAGATATGAGTAAAGATATCCACAAACGAATCAAAGTAATCGATAATTTAAAAAATCAACAAGCAAAAATGACAATGGAATAGGCCAATCGACAGGAAACAAACGTTATATAGTGTATAGTGTAAGAACCTCAAATGATAAAAATTAATGGCTGCAGATGGCTCGAAAAGTCAGACATCTTATATTTATTTTACAACCTTTAGCAATCTATACTTTGTTCACTAGTGGACAAATAATGGATAAAAGGATGATATGGTAGCCATAAATAGCTGATAGTGACTACTTATCTCAAAGTAGTTGTTTGTTCTCTTGTATGAACAGGACTGCAAATTATAAAAATGCTGCGTTACATTCTTGTCTCCTAATGATTCTGAGTATTGTGCTCTGGCGACGTCGATAAGATGAACTTAATAACGAGTGTCATCTAGAGCTGCTGTATCAATATAAACTTATCGTTTACATACTATAATTATTACAAGTCATTTCCTGGTATTTATATTATATTAGTACTAGCTATTGCTTGCAACTTTGTACGCGTATATATTTTGGGAGTAGGCAACTAGAATTTTTCTTTAGACCATTGCATACTCCTTTGTCGCATAAGAAAAAGTTATTAAATAAATCATTTCTACATAGCCTATTATGATAAAGCATACACCAAATTTAAGTTCGTCCTACAGAAATTTAGGATTACCGCATCCAATCGTGCAGTAGCTTTTGCGTGATGTCAATACAAAAGTACAATGAAACAGAATAATATTTTAAACATTGTTGTTTTGGGTCCTATTATTTTCATTAAGATGTTTTTTTTTTTTTTAAATATCTCCTCTGTACAGATAATAATTAATGATTTAAGGATGTACAGTAGCGTTGCTTTTATAACATCCGCAAAATCTAACTGTGGTTGCCAATACGTCTGCCAAGCGTTGCAACTATTGGCAAAATCCCTCTTGATGGAGGAGGCCTATGTTTGGCAGTGGACAATTAACGTCTGATATGATTGCCTATTTAAAAAAATTTTATACATGTATAAACTAATTATACAAGTATAAAAAAAGATATATACTAAAAGCCGAATTCTACTATTATATTAAACAATATATAATTTAATGAAGAATAAATTATTTATTGATTATCCTACTATTATTATGAATGTGAAAATTTGTGAAGATATTTAGATTTCGAGATATTTGTATGTTTGATACTTAATCACAGTAAAACCGTTGAGTGCATTTGAATAGTATTTGGTATACGATTAATATATATCCTAACATAGAATACTTTCTATACTAATATAAGCGGGCAAAGCCGCGGAAAACAGTTTGTAATATATAAGTGGAAGCAACTAATAAAACAAGAATAATAAACACTCAATTATATTTTTTATTATATTTAGAAAGATACAAAAAATATGTATTTACTATGTAACTAAGTAGTAATACTTATCAGATAAAAGCACATAATTTTTTTCTTTTTTAATAGTAAATCTATTAGTTATTAATAAAGCTATGATATATCTTATTAGTAATGAGTATGTAGTTGCTACATATAACCAGGAGCGTAGATAGGTGTATATATATGGGTGGATAGATGGGGCCGGTAATTTTTAAAACCTATATTGCCAACCTATATATCAATAAATCAATTCCCGCGATCATCAGTTTCATTAAAATTCGAAAACAGCTGATTTAAATAATTATTTTTTAAAAGAATGGTTTAAAAGAAAAAACAATCGATAAAATCTGCTAAATTAACAAAAAAAAATTTTAAATCGATGGCGTTCGTTCGACGAACTTCACTTGGTCGTCTAGATAAGAATAAAAAATGAGATTTAAAAATCGTTAGCCTGAAAACATCTAACGACTAAAATAATAAATTATGTTAAAATATAAAAATGTTGCCTAAATTGCAATTGTAAGCTTAGCTAAGCTAAGCATACTTCGTTTGGAAGCTCCTCTATCCGAACCTAACTACGTCCTTATATAGGTATAATTAATAAGAACTAAACAGAAGAGCAGCACGAGTATGAACACATGGCGTGCAGCGGCATCTGCGCTGCTTCGGACGTTCAGGCGAGTTTGATGGCGTCGACGGTGGTGCCGAAGGTGGCAATGGTGGAGATGGTGGCGGTGAAGTTAGACGAGGTGGTGAAGTCACCAGTTGTGGTGGCGTCATTTCAGTTTGTGGCGGTGCATGAACCACCGATGGCCAGTCATATCTGCAACTATAGAATTATATGATAATGTCAATAGAATGTTTACTGTCACAAAATTTTTATTATTATTGAAAATGTGAATTCGACTTTGTATTGTTACATTTAGCACTTTAATGGCTTCACCAATCACAATAAAATTACATGTATATTTGCAAAAATCGCGGGTATATACTAGAAAATCTATTAAGCCTTCGCTCCAAAAACTAAAGCAACTTCTATATAACAACATTTATATGGGACTAATGCATTTAGAATTATTAAAAATCGTATTGAATTTAGTAAAGATGTGCTATTTTATAAAACATGTGCATTGTGATATTATTAATCAATAAATAATAATCTCATAGCATTAACCCATAATAATAAATAATAGCTACCCGAATATAAAGAATAGCGTTATTTTATTATTATATATTAAACAATTATTAATTTTAGTTTAAAATATAATTAAATATAATAAATAAACGTTAATTATAGGAAAAAATTATAAAATTATATTATAAGTAAATGTGAAAAAGCACATAAATAAATAAATTAGTATTTAGAAGTAAAGGTTACTTTAAATTATTGTAATGTCTCTATAATAATTGCAAATACCAATAACGCATATAATAGTTAATAAAAAGGACGGTAGCACTTGCCTATTTACCCTCTTAGATTATTTTCGATACAAAGGCATCTAGTTTTAAATACCTTCATCTCATAAGCCTTAAACTATGCCTCTGGTTACCTACAATTGACGGGATTAAACACTTTTACAATTTTATTATTATACATAATATTTAAATATTAAGATTGATTAAAAATGATGAAAGCTATTCAAATTACATAAAATAAAAAAATATATATGTTAGCCTGTTTGCCGTTCTAAGTTGCACATAATTAAAACTTTGTAAAACGAAATATCACTCACTGATTAAGTAATCAAATTTATTAATACACAAATTTGCACTGATTCGCTTTATATTTATTCACTGAAATCCTTTTGTACCTCCCTGGAAATGGAAGAAAATATATTCTAAACAGGCGGAATCCCGAATTAATATATATTAAAATAAAAAAAAATTACGCACCTTACAAAAATACGCCTAAGGCAAGATAAACAGCTGTTTATACAGCCATAATGTAGTCCGTTACTGTAAAATAAATTATTTACTTGCATTATTTCTATATTATTATAAATATCTAACAATAAGATAAAAAAATCCCATTAATAAAAATAAAATGTACTTACGCGTCCATGTTGCAGTTGCAAGTGCGTCTATGATTCAGTGATCAAATGAGAGCCAGCCTCGTATGAAATGTTTATGATATCAAAAATCGCCACCATGCATTTTTTTGGGTCCCATGGTAATATCACACCAACGGAAAGCTACGATTATTGTCCGTACGTATATACGAGTACACTTAAATCTAATTAAACAAATACTACAATTAATGTTTAATATTTAAAACTTCGAATATTAATTTTTAAAATAATAAAATATTTTCGATTTTTTTTAAATATATTAATTAAATTAATTTATATTAAAGTAAGACGTGCTGCTGTATCGCATAGCAGGGAGGTTCGTTCAGTGCGAACTAAACCTTCGCCGTCTTCGCTTAAGCTGACTGAAATGGAATGTTTTGTAAACAAAACAAACTGTTATTATAGCTACATGTATATATTGTATCAAGTAATAATCTGTATGTGTTAATTCTTTTATTAATTATAATAAATTTAAACGAGACTATGAGCCTTTTTGTTAGTGTGTATGCGTGTGTTTGTGTGTGTGTATGTATGTATGTATATATGAGAGAGAGAGAGAGAGAGAGAAAGAGAAAAAGAGAGAGATAATTTTTTTCCAAATAATTCTAAAGATAGTTATGAAGATAATTAAAATCAAGATTTTTTTAATATTTAGCTATTTATAGACACATCTACCAAAAGAAATCACAAAGTTTTATTTTTAGAGTGAAAAGTAACTTAGAATTAGTTTTTGCCTTAATATATGAAACATAATTTACTTCAGAAAAATATACGCACACCGCTTGTGCCAAGTCGCGGGCGCAGCTAGTATATAAGTACTCGGTATTATAATAACAGAAGTATTGTTCTTTACTAAAAATAAACAGAATTGCGATATGCAACATAGTAAGTTCAGACCAAACAAATAATGGTATTTTAGTGCTAAAGTTCCACCTATCGAGGGTAGTTAATATTAATATTTATTATATTTCAACCAACTACAAAAAGAAAGTAGTCGGTTGATGTATTTAAGATGTGTAGGTGTCTATATCTACACCCCCTAAAAACATCAACCGAAATCAACGAGTTAGTTAACTAACGTCTAATTCTCAACAGATTTGACAACTTTAATTGGGTAATATTACACAGCGCCCTCTAGTCCCAAATGAAATACAACTTATATATAGTAAACAACTAATAAACATAATTAAATGTTTGTAATTAGTATCGGATGTAAAGGCAGTATCGGGGGGGTTGGGGGGAAAGAGATTGTTAGTAATGGAGACTGAGAATCCCATTGCTAGCAATATATAATAGCCTACCAGGTCGACCTCCTCGCGGTTCCCCCTGGAAACTATCATGGTTAATTCCTGATGAATTCAATGAATTCACCATGATGGGCTAACTGGCCTGTTTTCATTCTCATCTATCACCCTTCACTGGTGCTCCGCCAGCGTACCCCGTTAGCGCAGGCGGGGTTACCATTCTCACCCATCAATAAGAAAAAAAGTATCGGGGGGGGGGGGATTGTTAGAAACGGGGACTAGCGATTCTATTGCTAACAATATACATATCCTTTCAGGTCGACCGCTATACCGTATCTCTTGGAAACCATCGTGGTTAATTCTTTATGAACTTGACACGGTAGGTGCTAACAATATACCCTGTTATTCCTACTTATCATCCCTCATTGGTACCTCGCTAGCGTGTACCGTTAGCGTAGGCGGGGTTACCATTTCGTTATCATCCATTAAAAGACCCACCATCGTACTAATTTCCAAGTGTACTCATCACGGCGGGCTAACTAACTTGCCGTTTCATTCTCACTATCCCTCACTGGTGCCCCACCAGCGTATACCGATAGCGCAGGCGGGGCAACCATTCCATTATCACTCATTAAAAAAGAAAATATCCTTCCTAACTGGTGCCCTGCCAGCATACACAGACAGCGCAGATGGGGATACTCTTTCATTATCATCCGTTAAAAAAAAAAGACAGTAGCGACACGCTATAGGCCCTATTGCTAGCGATATACGTACTCCTTTTAATCGAACTCCAAGCAGTTCTCACTGGAAACTCCAATGGTTAATTTCTGTAATATTAAGGTGAGGTGAGGGATGAATGGCGTATCACACCTATCATCCCTCACCACCTCACCAACACACGCCCCCTCCCCCTTCGCCACTTCCAGCGTAAGTGAACAGTACAGACGGGTTTGCCAATAAATTTTCATTCATTAAAAGCATCTATTTACATAAATATACCAATGAGACAAATATATTCTTTTATAGTGTTCTGTATCACTCACACTGAACAACTGTTTCGTTGTTGAGAAATATATAATTACAGTGTAGTACCATGAAGTCCTGATATACTCTGCAATAATACTTATGAAACACAATTCAAAGTTGAAAGTAGTGTACTTATAGTAGAAATTAATTTTTTTATACAACTTAGAATGGCAAACAAGCTGACGGCCCACCTGATGGAAAGTGGTAACCGTCGCCTATAGACATAAGCAGTACCATAGACATAATAGAGTGTACCGTTTCGCCCATGATACCCCTCATGCGTTGTCATTCCTGAGGACTCAGATGTTATTCCTCTGTACCCAGTAAATTCACGCCATATCCCACAGCCATGCATACACAGCTGCTTCACGGTTGAAACATGAATGGGATAGAGGTACCCAAGCAATCGACTTTTGTACAAAGTCTCCCTCTGGTAAGAGGGATAATGATCATTACGAGATAAGTTGCATACCAAATATTTTTATATTTAATTATTTAAAGACTACAAAAAAATACTACTTGAATTGTAATAAAACCAGTTATTTGAATCTAAAAATTAAACCAATTTTAATAAATTTTCTTTATGACCAATTTGTAGGTATATCTTTTCAGATAAAAAAAAAGAATATTCCAAATCGGTTTAGAACTAATGAAGTATTAAGGTAATAAACATAAAAAAATACAACCGAATTGAGAATCTTCTTTTTGTTTTGAAGTCGGTTAAAATGGAGGTAAATAAATTTAAATTTCCTTCAAATAGTCGTTTACAAACCTATTAACTACCATAGAACTCGAAATTTATTTTGTACCACGTGATTTGCAATAACAAATTTTTCTAAGATTTGTTAAGTTTTTTTTATCGCGAACTGTACAGGAATGTCTGATGATGACGCAATGTCAAGTATCGTCTTAAATTGATTTAATTGTTACAGTTAATAACGTTCGTTTTATCGAAACTTATCAATTCTATATAAAATATAAAGAAAAATATAAAAATTATTAATAACATTTGCAATTTCTTCTTCAAAATATATAAAAATTAACGGGGCCTCTTTTAATGTAATACATTCAGCTTCTTGAGAATATATCTCGTATCTTTATATTGAAGAATATACTCGGTATTGAAGAGTATCTATCTATCTATCCTGTTACCATAGTTTTACAAACTGAAGAATGTATTGTTACATTTATGGCTTAAGACTGTATAAAAAAATATTTATAGTGTTTGCTGATTTCAAAAGCGTCATATTTGGAAATTTCAGATTATCCATGAGCAAAAGTCCACAACGGAAGCTTACGATTGATCGATAAGGGCGAAAAAATTGTTAGTAACCACCGAAAAATATATTGTTCGACTTCTTTATAAGTAAAGAAAGAAATAAAAATATTTATTTGTGGCATATCAATTAGCAATGAGGAGGTCCTGCTTAGGGTTAACGAAAAAAGATAAATTATTAGAACTATTGAGGACAGAAGGGGAAAAATGTTAGGACACTTGATACGACACGACGAACTTATGAACATTATAATAGAAGGTAAGATAGAAGGAAGAAGGGGGAGAGGGAGACCGAGACATAGTTACATCAGGCAGATCAAGGAAGGAGTTGGTGTCGTGTCGTATTAAGAGGTGAAGAGACTCGCTGAAAATCGTAGTGAGTGGCAAGAGCTCCACCGACAAGAGCGCAGCTCTTAAATAGATAGATAGATAGGCATATCAATAACAGTTACAATATAAATATAGTCAATTATAAATTTAAAGAAAATACGAAAATAAACTTATATCTAATTAAGAATTATGCGACCAAAATGGTCACCACAGTCACATTCATATATAATGCCTAAAGACTGATTTTCTACGGAACCAATGGGAGTGGTAGATGGCGCTACCGAGTAGACATATTACTATTGAGAGGCATATGTATCATCATCATCATCTATCAGCCTTCAACTGTCCACGGCTGGATATAAGCCTTTCCTAGGGGATTTTGCCAGTAGTTTCCAAGCTTGGCAAGCGGATTGGCAACCGCAGTTAGGCAGGGGGGAAAGGGATTGTTAGTAATGGAGACTAAGAATCCCATTGCTAGCAATATACCCAGCCATATCGACCTCCTCGCGGTTCTCCCTGGAAACTGTCATGGTTAATGTCTTATGAATTTATCATGATGGGCTAACTGGCCTGTTTTCATTCTCATCGATCACCCTTCACTGGTGCTCCGCCACCATATCCCGTTAGCGCAGACGGGATCACCATTCCATTTTCACCCATAAAAAAACCGCAGTTAGGCTTTAGAGATATTTAAGAGGAACGCTACTGCCCATCTCGCGCCCTCTCTTAGTCGCAACTAAGAGACACCCACGGGAAAGGAAGGCGTGGCCCATTCTATGCCGGGACCTACACGGCGAGGGTATGTTACTTTTTATAGTATAATATTTTTTATTGTTAGGAAGGCAAACTAGTAGACTGTCCACTTGATGGAAAGCGGCTACCCTCGCTAATGAACACCCGTAACACGACAGCAGATGCTTGTGCGTTGCCGGCATTTTAAATGTTTGCAAGGCCATCTTTTATTTTTTTATTTCTTTTTATTTTTTTAATTCCTATATTATATTGTAAAGAGAAAACTGAAGATGGGAGCTCACTCCACAATCTATATGTACATGGTTCAAATGAAGGAGGTGTATAAGGAGGGATGATAGGTGAGAATGAAGCAGGTCCATTCACCTATCGTAACAAATTCATTAAAAATTAACCACGATAGTTTCCAGGGGATATCGCATGGAGATCGACCTGAAAGGGTACGTATATCGTTAGCAATAGAATCGCTAGTCCCCGTTTCTAACAATCCCTCCTTCCTTATGTTTGTTGCCTCATAACTCTGTTAGCTCTAAACCGAATTGGAAAATTCTTTCATCCTTTTGATAAGAAAATGGATACACTTACAGATTAATTCCATAGAAAGTTTATTAAAATCCTGTTCAATAGTTTAGTTTTTAGATCCAAATAACTGGTTTTATTTCAATTGTAGTAGTTTTGTGGGACTCAATCTTTAATTATATATTTGGTATGCAACTTATCTTGTA